CAGGAGTTTCTGGCTGCTGTCTACATGTTCCACTGTCACAGTAACAAGAAGAACGAGGTGGTAGAGGACTTTTTGGTGAATGTTCATCATTATTATCAGTATGGTTTTAATTATAATTGGAACAGCTCATCTCTAGATGATTTCCTGAAAAGAGTCATGGAGAAATCCCTCCAGAGTAAAAATGACCACCTGGACCTGTTTGTTCGCTTCCTTCATGGCCTCTGTCTGGAGTCCAACCAGAGACTCTTAGGAGGTCTGCTGGGTCAGACAGAGATCAGTCCAGAAACCATCCAGAGAGTCATCAACAACCTGAAGAAGATGAACAGTGATGAAATCTCTCCTGACAGAAGCATCAACATCTTCCACTGTCTGATGGAGATGAACTATCTCTCTTTATTTCAGGAGATCCAAGAGTTTCTGAAGTCAGAGAACAGATCAGAAAAGAAACTCTCTGAGATCCAGTGCTCAGCTCTGGCTTTCATGCTGCAGATGTCAGAGGAGGTTCTGGATGAGTTAAACCCGAAGAAGTACAACACATCATGGCAGGGACGACAGAGACTGATTCCAGCTGTGAGGAACTGCAGAAAGGCTGGGTGAGTCCAGATGTGATCATTAACACCATTAAACAGTCCTAGTAGTTTTTGTAATTCATGATTTTATTTTTTTAAAAACACTGTTACTCTTCATACAATATTTTATTATACAGTCAAATAAGCCATATCCTAGATGGTTCTCCTTTATATTGATTTAAGTAATTGTTCTTCTCACTTGAAAGGTTCTGAATGATCAGTCCCCATAAAGCCCTTATGATGCTGGATTATCCCACTATAACACTTTGCTTTCAAAATTTTTGAAAGTAGAAAGATGAAGCCGAGCCTTCATCTTTCGGGCACCGCCCAGTTTGGATTCAACAGACAGACACTTAGGCTGTGTCCAAATTCAGGGGAAGGATCCCTCGAAGGATCCTACCTACCCGATCCATGTAGATAGGATCCTTCGACGGCCGGGTAGGCCAGAGGCAAGCAGCTGTGAAATTGGACAATCTTCTAGCCTTCATTCAAGTCTGCCCTTACTTTCGTGGTTTTCCGGTCGCTAGCACCACAGCGTGACAACTTTAAAATGGACCCAGAAATGTCGCTCCATTTTTTTCTACTTTTTTAATTCTTGAGGAGCTAGAAAAAGGAAGAGGGTCAGCCACCCACAACAGGGAGAAAGAGGAAAAGAGATGATGAGCTGCTAGGCCTCATCAGAGAGGACATGAGGCAGCAATGAAAGGCTGAGGAGAGGAGAGCGCAGGAGAGCAGGGAGAGGATGGACAGACTGTTTTCACTTAAAAGATTAGTTCCAAAATGAGAGCTTTAGGATGCTTCCTCCCACTGTCCACTGCATTGTCCATCCACAGGGTTTGCATGGCTGGCTCAATCAATGGCTGCCACACCACTAAGATGTTTTCAGAAATATGCAAGCAGGAGATGGTGGATGCTATATTACTACTAGTGTAATACTTGTAACTCTGTAGCAGACAATAGTTTGATAAAAATGCTATGTAAAATAAACCAAAAGATTAGATTCTATAAGTTTCAAAGACATTTAGTTTATATATTTTATATAATATAGTAAATATGTGTACGAATGGCCGGCAATAATTCAGTCACTGAAATTATTGATGAAACTACTAAATGCCTGTAGATTAAACAAAATTATTTTACCTGGATGTGATTGTCGTTGCCGGCATGTACAAAACATGCCGGCAACGACATTAAAGTTTTTTTAGCTCCTCAAAAATTAAAAAAGTAGAGAAAAAAGAGCGACATGTCTGGGTCCATTTTAAAGTTGTCGCGCTGTGGCGCTAGCGACCAGAAAAACACGGAAGTGAGGGCGGACTTGAGTGAAGGCTAAAAGGCTGTCCAATTTCACAGCCGCTCACTTCCGGCCTACCCGGCCCTTGGAGGTTCCTATCTACATGGATCGGGTAGGTAGGATCCTTCGAGGCATCCTTCCCCTGAATTTGGACACAGCCAATCTATATATATCTAATATAATCTAATATAACATTCCCATATATCATCTGACTTTATGTCCTCATTAATCACAGAGCTAATTGTTCAATGTTTAGTTGTTGCTGGTGAAATGTCGTCCCTGTTTTCTGCTGATGGAATTCACTGCTGTGTTTTTGGCTGCTGTTTACATCCCCCAGCTAACTTCCTGGCAGTGCTCGCCAAACGTCATGATGTCATCAGTGCTTTATAGACAGTGGGAGGTTTAGGTTGTAACCACAAAGTGTTTGTGTCCGTACACTGCAACCTTCCACACCATTCCTTTATTGTACAGACTCAGCACAGAGCAGCTCCATGGATACCAAATCCAAGACAGGGCTCGCCCGTCGGGCTATATGATAACCCGACCCGATGGGCTATATGATAACCTGACGGGCGGGGCTGAGATAGATTTTGGTCGCCCGACCGGAGATATCGCTAGCTCCGGGACGTCGGGCTAGCGATTTTGCGAGCCCTGCAAGAGTGGAGAACAGATTTGAAGTGTGTCACATCCATGTAGTCACAGCTGTTTCCACCATGTTTCCACTGATATTAATCCTGTTCAAGGACACGTTTCATATCAGTGAATATGTTCTTTAGGATGTCCACTGACATGTTTAAGTGTCCTGCTGGAAATCACTCAAATCATCAATGAAATCCATGAAAAATCCTTTTAGTGTTTCTAACTTCACCCTCTGTCCTCTCTCTCTCTCCATCCTCCTCACTGCTTCTTTCACTGATAATCACACAAACATCATATTCAGCTACAAAATAACACAATAATATCATCTGATGATCATTATTATAAGAGCAGGATCCATATTTGATATCAGAGTAACACACTGCTTGGCTATGTGCAGTCATCATCAGTTAATGTGGGTCAAACAGAAGCTTTCTGATTGGTTGCTGACCTTGGTTACCTGTCCACTGTCACCTGTTTGTGTTTGCTCTCTTTTTGCTGTCTCCATCCTGCTCTCTCCTTTCTCTCCCTCTCTGTTTTGTACCGTCACTCAGGTCCAATGGAAACAGTGACATTTACAAACCAATCAAAGACAAACTGATCCATTTCAGGTTATAACAATATTCAAAGTGAATACAAGAGCAGATGTTCATCAGATTATGATGTCACTCTGTTTTGTCTTCATATACATTCAGTCTGTGTTTATAATGCAGATTTTCTGCTTTTTTAATAACACATTTTATATTTTCTGTAATCACAGACTGACTTGTTGTCGACTCTCATTGACTGACTGTGAAGTTGTGGCCTCAATTCTGAAGTCCAACCCCTCCCATCTGACAGAGCTGGACATGAGTAAAAACAGCCTGCAGGATTTAAGAGTGAAGCTTCTGTGTGCTGGACTGGGGAGTCCAAACTGTCGACTGGAGACTCTGAGGTGAGTTCACTGACTGCAGCTGTTGTTGTTTTTCTGTATTTCAGATCTCTATCATATAGACTCTGAGGTGAGTTCACTGACTGCAGCTGTTGTTGTTTTTCTGTATTTCAG